GACTTTTTTGTAACTTTGACCTTTCATACCTCTCCACCATTGGGCTCGTAAAAATGTTCCAACATAGCGATACAACTGGATTTTCCTCCTCCAGAAGGACCAACAAGCGCGACAACCTCCCCAGGTTCCACAGTGAATGTGAGATCCTGAAAAGTAGAACAAAAGGATATACCATTGACGGAGCGATATTAAACCTCCATAATCGGCAAATCCGGTCTAATAGGATAACTGAACTGAACGTTCTTAAATTCGATTCGGCCAATGAGCTTTTCTGGCGCATATGTGCCGTTATTCTAAAAAAAAAGATTGGCTATTAATTAATCTTTTGAGGCAGTACACAGCTTACCTTGACTTTTGGATCACGATCGATGTATTCGAAGACTTTCCTGGAGGCACCTACGGCTTGCATAAGACCGTTCCATACTTCACCAAGTTCCTAAATTATATATTGATTTATTGATTGTATGCTCTTGTGCCCATAATCATTGACTCACTCTCAAATTTTCTCCCAGCTGAAACTGATATAGCAGGAACGAAACCAGTAAGCCAGACTCGATCTATAAAACAAACAAGATATTTAACTTTCGAGGATAGTTTTATTTGGAACAATCAATCAATATTTTGTTGGAAGATATTGCCTGTTGGTATGAGAGCAAAACTTACCTTCGCTTGAATGACTAGATGACCTCCATACCACAGAACTATGGTAAGAATTGCCATTTGCAGAAGCTAACATAGATTTGATTACCATAGAAAGTATGCAGGGTAACAAGTGATACAGTTTTCACTTTTAACTGACCTCATTCGTCCAAATTAGCCCAATCACACAGATCACCCTACGGGTGGTGATGGCTAGAGTTACGTTTAGGTAGCCTAGGAATCTAAAACAGGCTAGTTTCAAGCTTTTCCAATATGTTCAAGAATGTCGTTTAGGAGTCCTTTAATTGGTCGTCTTTTGTGCAGAAACGTACCTATGACTTTCAAATCGCTCACAGGCGAAACTTTTCACGGTGCGAATTGCTGAAAGCACCTCTTCAGCTACATCGTTAGCATGTGCTACGGAATTTTGAGTTTCTTCAGATAGTTTCTGTAAATGAACTACAGGATTTCAGACGAGTGCCACTACTGAAGTGATATCGCATTGAGTTCACTACCGTGTTTAATGGGTTAAGGCCGCTTAGGAGTTACAAATTTCACTTTTTAATAGGCTATTTATAATGTTTTAGGCTATGCACAGGGCATACGGATGCAGAAGTGTTAACCAAAGGAAGATCAACTCACATCATACCATACACCGAACACCTTATTGACCAGGAAGATCAAAGGTACAGTAATGAGGGTAATCATAGATAGTCGCCACGATAGGGTAGTCATAAAGATTAGGGATCCAAACAACATCGTCAAATTCCTGAAATTAGATCAGGTGCAGTATCGAGCTGTAGAACCTATTCCAAAAATTTTGGAAAAAACCTAAAAAAAGGCTCGAAGAAAACTGGTCCCAGCTGTATCCAAATATCCATACTTTATGTTTTAATATTACAGATTCTTTTTTATGTTTGTTTACCAAGTATGTGATAATGTCTGCTTACGGGCATTATAATTTCTCATGGGGACCAGTTCTCGTATGATTGACAAGAGCAAGTCTTTTACCTCGTCAATACGTTCATGTACAGTGACAGAGTATTCGACATTGTTTGACAATCGGACGTCAGTCGAGAACATATTTCACCTTCAAATTCGAAGTAAAATAATAATTTAAGATGCTTTAAAAACTGTAGAAGCTACGAAATCTGTTGTTTTACAAATACAAAAAATTCGTGTTGAACTCATCAATAAATTAAAAGACGATTTTTCAACTGCTGAAATTTTGAACATATAAAAAAATCCTATTGAAAAGTTCATGTACCTGTCTTGATTGCGTCAAAGAATCCAATTTCCTGCTTGATCACAGCTCGGAATAAATCACTGCGGATTTGCCGATCAATAGTAGCATGAGCGTAAGTAAACGAACCACCACGTAATCCACCAAATACAGCACTGCAAGTAAATGAAGCACTTGAGGATTAGCTCAAATACTCCAGGTTCAAAGCCTTTTACCAGCTCAGTGACAGAAATGCCATGATGCCGACTGTACGATGTAGTCTCTCGTAGGATGCTTGTTCTCCAAATACAGCTGATACTACCTCGCCAGTGTAGTAAGGTATGAAGACGCGACCTGGGGCAAAAGGGGTAAGTTCTGCGCAAAATCAAGTTTTGTCAGATTCTTACTGATTGAGTAGCAAAGTAGGAAGAAAAACGCCATTCCATAGTACTTCCACTCTCTGGCCATGTAACCAAGTAGCCGGAATAGTAATACAAAAGTTTCACGCTGTTTTGCGGCTTTTTCGGCCTCTTCCTGGAGAAAATCAATAGTTTTCACATTAATAATAGAGGTTGTCATGGGATAATCTACCTCTAAAAGTCTCTCCTCATAGCCATCATCACCAAAATGTAAGGTAGAAGAATATCCTCCCTTTTCGCTAACACGAGTGTAGACATTCGTCCAGATTATCTACAACCATAGAGTATATTTTTACGAATGAGCGAATATCGAATATTCGTTTGTTATAGAAATAATCGAACAAATGAATACTATTGTGATCGACATATAAAATATATTCGAATTCAAATGTTTGAAGAGTGGAGTTCCTGTATATTCAGTTATTCAAATATTTTTTTAATTCTTTCGAATATTCGACCATTCGTTATAAATAATCGAATTATTTGATTATTCTACATGAAAACGTAGTCTCAATCATAGATGACCTCATGGATAATCGAACAGATATTAGATAATTTCCAATCATTCGAACGGTGGAGTATATTTGAATCTCAGTTCAAAACCATTCGAACTCGAATATTCAAATTTCGATGTTCCAAAATATTCGACCATTTGAATAATGGAATAAATACATTAGTTCGAATACACGACTATTCAAAAAATCGAGTAAATGCGCTCTCCCGAGTATTCGAAAATCGAAAATTCGAATTATTCGAGATGTTCGAATATTTTATTCGAACAAGAATATTCGGTTTCAAGTGTAATACTACGGATCACAATTGAGTTTGCGTACCTGCACTGCCAATGACGCAAAAATGCACCATATCATCAAAATCCAATCTCCAACGGCTAGTTTCACCGTGTCCACTTCATAAAAAGCCAGAAGTTTAGCTGGAGCAAATGCGAGGATTACGAGCATCACAGCGAAAACGACGTTACTGGAAAACGATGA